AATGTTATTCACCACATCAATAGACTTAAAGATAAGAACCGTATGATCATCTCGATAGATGCAGAAAAAGCATTCGACAAAGTACAGCATCCCTTTATGTTCAAAACACTAGAAAAACTAGGGATAACAGGAACTTACCTCAACATTGTAAAAGCTATATATGCTAAGCCTCAGGCTAGCATCATTCTAAATGGAGAAAAACTGAAGGCATTCCCTCTAAAATCTGGAACAAGACAGGGATGCCCTCTATCACCACTTCTATTCAATTTAGTTCTTGAAATACTAGCCAGAGCAATTAGACAGACGAAAGAAATTAAAGGCATAAAAATAGGAAAAGAAGAACTTAAATTATCACTATTTGCAGATGATATGATAATATATCTAACAGACCCAAAAGGGTCTACAAAGAAACTACTAGAACTAATAAATGAATTCAGCAAAGTGGAAGGATATAAAATCAACACGCATAAATCAAAGGTATTCCTCTATATCAGCAACCAAACTTCTGAAATGGAAATGAGGAAAACCACCCCATTCACAATATCCTCAAAAAAAATAAAATACTTGGGAATCAACCTAACAAAAGAGGTGAAAGATTTATACAATGAAAACTACAGAAACTAAAGAGCGAGATAGAAGAAGATCTTAGAAGATGGAAAAATGTACCCTGTTCATGGATAGGCAGAACCAACATCATCAAAATGGCGATATTACCCAAAGTTCTCTACAGGTTCAATGCAATGCCAATCAAAATCCCAATGGCATTTCTTGTAGAAATGGATAAAGCAATCATGAAATTCATATGGAAAAACAAAAGACCCAGAATAGCAAAAGCAATTCTAAGCAGGAAGTGTGAATCCGGAGGTATAGCGATACCAGATTTCAAACTGTACTACAGAGCAATAGTAACAAAAACAGCATGGTACTGGTACCAAAACAGGCAGGTGGACCATTGGTACAGAATAGAGGACACAGAGACCACTCCACAAAATTACAACTTTCTTATATTTGATAAAGGGGCTAAAAGCATGCAATGGAGGAAGGATAGCATCTTCAACAAATGGTGCTGGGAAAACTGGAAATCCATATGAAACAAAATGAAGCTGAACCCCTTTCTCTTGCCATGGACAAAAGTTAACTCAAAATGGATCAAAGAGCTTGATATCAAATCAGAGACTCTGCGCCTGATAGAAGAAAAAGTTGGCTCCGATCTACATATTGTGGGGTCGGGCTCCAAATTCCTTAATAGGACACCCATAGCACAAGAGTTAACAACAAGAATAAACAAATGGGACTTACTTAAACTAAAAAGTTTTTTTTCTCAGCAAGAGAAACAATAAGAGAGGTAAATAGGGAACCTACATCCTGGGAACAAATTTTTACTCCTCACACTTCAGATAGAGCCCTAATATCCAGAATATACAAAGAACTCAAAAAATTAAACAATAAGATAACAAATAACCCAATCAACAAATGGGCCAAGGACCTGAACAGACACTTCTCAGAGGAGGACATACAATCAATCAACAAGTACATGAAAAAATGCTCACCATCTCTAGCAGTCAGAGAAATGCAAATCAAAACCACCCTAAGATACCATCTCACTCCAGTAAGATTGGCAGCCATTATGAAGTCAAACAACAACAAGTGCTGGAGAGGATGTGGGGAAAAGGGTACTCTTGTACATTGCTGGTGGGACTGCAAATTGGTGCGGCCAATATGGAAAGCAGTATGGAGATTCCTGGGAAAGCTGGGAATGGAACCACCATTTGACCCAGCTATCGCCCTTCTCGGTCTATTCCCTGAGGACCTTAAAAGAGCATACTATAGGGATACTGCCACATCAATGATCATAGCAGCACAATTCACAATTGCTAGACTGTGGAATCAACCTAGATGCCCTTCAATAGATGAATGGATAAAAAAAAAATGTGGCATTTATACACAATGGAGTATTACGCAGCACTAAAAAATGACAAAATCATGGAATTTGCAGGGAAATGGATGGCATTAGAGCAGATTATGCTAAGTGAATTAGCCAATCCTTAAAAAACAAATGCCAAATGTCTTCTTTGATATAAGGAGAACAACTAAGAACAGAGCAGGGAGGAAGAGCATGAGGAAAAGACTAACATTAAACAGAGACGAGTGGTGGGAGGGAAAGGGAGAGAGAAGGGAAATTGTATGGAAATGGAAGGAGACCCTCATTGTTACACAAAATTACATATAAGAGTTTGTGAGGGGAAAGGGGAGAAAAAAAAACAAGGGAGACAAATGAATAACAGCAGATGGAGTAGAGAGGGAAGATGGGAGGGGAGGGGAGGGGGGATAGGAAAGGTAACAGAATACAACAGTCACTAGTATGGCAATATGTAAAAATGTGGATGTGTAACCGATGTGATTCTGCAATCTGTATTTGGGTTAAAAATGGGAGTTCATAACCCACTTGAATCAAATGTATGAAAGATGATATGTCATGAGCTTTGTAATTTTTTGAACAACCAATAAAAAAAAAGAAATTATTAAAAAAAAAGGAAAAAAAAGAAAATTTAGTGGTGAAACGAGTACATTATGAGAGTTTTAACCTAATCAGTGCATTAATCCTCTGATAGGGATTAACTGGGTGTTAACTGTAGGCAGGTTGGGTATAGCTAAACAGGGTTGGGGGTAGTGTCAATGGGCATGTGCTTTGGGTTTATACTTTGGCCTTGGTAAGGAGAATCTCTCTCTGCTTCCTGTCACTATGGCCTTAGCCGCTTTCCTCCACTACACCCTTCTGCCATGATGTCCTGTCTCACCTTGGGCCCAGAGCAACAGAGTCTGCCATCTACAGACGAACATCTCTGAGATCATGAACCCCCAAATGAACTTTTCCTCCTCTAATTGTTATCATCAGGTCTTTTTGGTCACAGGGGTGAAAAGGCTGACTAAAATAAAGGGGGAAAGACAGGGGCCACAGGCAGCCTATGGGAAGGCAGAATGGCTACCCCTCCTGAACTGGAGAAACCCATTCATGCTGATAAGTGGTGCTCTGCTTCAGCTGGCACAGAGTTCACCTGTCTCATACATTCCCCAAGGCAAGGATAATGTCTGGCTGCTTAGGTTCAAATGGGTTGCAGAAAGGAGCTGTGCTAGTTGCAGTGGCACAGCCTTTTATCCCAGCTACTCCAAGGTTGAGGCAGGAGATCGCAAATTGGAGGTCAACCTCGGCAATTTGGCAAGACCCTGTCTCAAAAAAAGAAGGTGGGGTGGGCTGGGGAGGAGGCTGGGGATGTAGGTCAGTGGTAGAGCACTGACGAATTTAATCTACAGTCCTGAGAAAAAAAACAAAGTATCCCCAATGGGATGAGGCCCTGGGCTTAATCCCCAGTAAAAAAAAAATGAAAAAGAAAAACAACATTTCTTCTATGGGTTAGGGATGCAACTCAGCGGCCAGGGGCATGTCTACCATGTGTGAGGCTCCAGTTTCCAACCCCAGTACCAGAATCAGCAAAACCAATCCCCTGTTCCTTCCCATTCTCTTTTCCAGTTCTGAGCTCCCCTTCCAGAGATTGCCCACTCTTCCCACTTCATCTACCATCTGAGGCTCAGAAAATTCCAAGACCAGATCAAATAGCATCTTTTATGAGTAGCTTGCTGTGAACCTTCCCCATACCTTCCATTTCTCAGCTTTATGTTCTCGTAGCATTTATTTCCCACCCCTATCAAGCCCTTGCCCGCTGATCACAACAGGCGGCATCTGCAGCATGCTGTCAGGCTCTCCCCTGCAAGGATGCTGGTACCTTCATCTCTTGCCAGCACCAAGCACAGGCCTGGATCTCAGCTCATGTGCACTGCAATAATGATCCTGACAGCTGACATGATACCGTTAGAATAAAATGTCTACCGATATCATTTACTGATTGCCTTTGATGAAACTGGACTAGGTATTTGCAGTATTTTATATAATTTAATACTTAAACAAATATAAGAAGGAGCCACTGTTTTCTCATTTTATCCTGAGATTCAAAAACTGTTTAAATGCTTTCCACAAGCCCTCGATACTAACGAGTACAGAGATTTAAACCAGTTCTCTGTGAATCCAAACTCAATGTCCTTTCTAATTAGAAACTTGCAAATTCAACCTGAATGATACTTGGATGTGCTTTAAATATGTGACACATTTTCAGTTTGAGATTCCACATATGTACAAGCTCTAGTGACATTAACGTATCTAAATCCCTAACCATGCAAAAAGGTCCTAAAATTGATAATTAGCTACATAACACAATTTTCAAAATATCTGAAAGATTTCACATTAATATATCCTAACCTACTAGTAAATATTAGTCTCTATTTAGCCTATCAACAAAGATTCTTGATGAAACATTTATTTATTTACCGTATTTTAAGGGACAAAAAGATGGGGTGTTTGAGGAACAGCTAAAGCTATTTTCTGGACTATTTAAAACTTGGAACTTCAAAGAAAATTTGAATCATGTACAAAAAAAAAATTTACTTTTCTGAAAGACACAAAGGATACAGTAAAAAAAAGACCCAACTTATATTGTAACAATACACTTAGAATGATTTGATTTTGACAAAAATAATAATAATAATTTGCTTTCATTTTTTTCTACTTTGCTATGAAGGTCTATGTAATGGGCCAATTTACATCAAATTCTATGGCCTTTTATCAACCAAATTGTCTTGCTTGGATTACTACAGAACATGAATGAACTGTAGACTTGCCCTCCTCCCCTCTCATAATTAAGATGTACTCTCTAATTAATGACAGGCAGCAATATTTGCATTTACAAAGGCAGTGGATATGTGAAGAAACAAAAAAGAGTAATTCAGTCTCTGGAGAATCCTATCTTTAAAATTACATTTTTTCCACAATTAACTAATGGTTTGGCAATGACATCCCCGGGAAACCCAATTCCACCTGCACAAAATGCCCTTCAACTCTTCTACCTCTCCCAAAACTTTTAAAATCCAGGCAACATTTGTGTACTTACTTTTTCAATTTTTGTATTATCTCCAAATCTTTAATTTCATTCTGAAGATCCTCAAAGTTTTCAACAGAAGTCAAATTACAGAAAACTCTGTAGTCAACATATGGAGGGATACCATGATCCCGGCCCCTTTGAATGTTGGTGGCAGCCAAATCCAGGGCCACAGAATGGGCGGTGGAGAACAACTTCTCTGTCAATTCAAGGTTGAGAAGTTGCGAGGGCACCCGCAATTTAGTGGCTACTCCAAATAGCCCCCGAAGGAGTGGATCTATCCCACCTTCCTCGAGTATTCTGGATGGGGAAAAGAAAGCTTTGTGGAGTGGAAGGTGGCCTTCGGGAATTTCACCGAAGGTATCATTCAATCGGTAAAGAATAGGATTGATTAATGTGTGGCCAAATCTAAAGGCTGCAGTGGCAAAAGAGTTAATGATCCCAGCATTCACGTTGGGATCATACCCCTGGTACTCCCTCAGCATCTTCATGCCAGGGTCCCCAAGAATCTTGGGCAGCCAGTGGCTGTAGGTGATGTGCTGCAGTTCCGCACCCACAATCTTCCTGGCTTCCTGATAAAGGGTGTCTCCATCCCAGTGGGGGTTTAGGGCTGATAGTTCTGTGGCCACCCTGTTGTGTTCCCGGAACCACAAGGTGTGCATAGCCGTCAGAGCCAGCTGCTCATTAGCCCTGTGGTCCCCCGCCAGGAAACAGGGGCTACTGTGGCTGTCTCGTTCACCTCTAGTGCATTCGGTGGGTGGGCCTGAAGAAAAGGGCAGTAAGTGCTTGCCAGAAGAGGACCAAGGTAAGCCCGTCCTCAGCAGTCCCTTGGGTGCAGAAAGGGCTCTGAGAACCTGGGATTCCTGCTCTGAGCTCCCGTAAACATTGGAAGCATCAATGTAGGCTGTGAGCTGGTTGATCTGCTCTCGTGCATAGACTGAATTCATCATCAAAGAGGTTGTGCCGCTGCCACACACGGGGCTGGAGCGTGTAAAGAACATGCAGGGTGCTTGGGCTCCCCTGGGATCCTCTGGCGGAATGGCAATAGGGAAGCAAGGAGGGTCATTCGTGCAGGCGGAGCTGCAAGGCTGCCCATCCGAAAAGCGGGCGGTGCTCAGTGCAGGCACTGTATGATCCAAGTCGTGGTCCAAAAACTGTCCCCACTGCATAAGCATGTGTGTGTACCTGTGGTCTGGAGTGACCGCCGCTGTGCCAGCCAACACGGTGGAAACCAGCCTCGGCAGCGGGAGCGGAGAGCGGCCGTCCCCATTGTGGCGGCCAGCCCCACGGGGCGAATTGAAGCCATTCTCATAGGCAGGCTGCAGGACGCGCACCAAGGCTGTCAGGGACGCGCCCCACGTCGGGTGCTGCAGGTTGTTGCACGTTCCGTCGTGGGTCCGGTACTTCTGATGAAAGCACAGGTCAGAGCAGTTAGGCAGACGTCTGTGGGCTGTGCAACCGGACAGATTGGCGATGAGGCCAAGGTAGCGCGGGGAAACCAAATCATTGTAGCGGAATTCTGAAACCCAAGCAGTGACCTCAATGAGAGTAGCGCAGGAAAAGGGAACAGAGAACTTGGAACTAAGTGCAGTTGAAACCCCCCACCCCGGGGTGTGTAGAAGTCTTTCCTACTTGTAACAAGAGTCAGCTCACAACTAAACACTATAGGACTAAGGATTGGGAAATAGATACACAACAAAGATAATTCCAAAAATTAGAATTACTTCAGTAATGTCTATCTTATGAACAATGGCTGACTATTAGAATCAACCAAATAAATCTTGGAGCTGGCGATCCTGCTCAGTTGGCAGTGTGTGTCTCCCATGCACAAGGTCCTGGGCTCAATCCCCAGCACCACACACACATACAAAAAACAAAACAAAACAAAAACTTATTTTATTGTTTCTAATCTTCTAGCTACAAATTTAGAGTATATTATTCCTAATGTTATTTCTTCTTCTACTAGAGATAATTGAATAGACAAACTCTAAGATGGCTAAATAACTGTGGGCCTCACCTTTATTTGTGGCTGCGGAAACAGAATTGGCTTTTTTGAAGATAGGGACAGAGCTAACTGATACCTGGTGTGATTCAAACTCAAGTAATCATATATTTAACTAAAGCCCTGATATGAAGATTTCACTGGACATGTTGGTTAGGGAAGTTTTGAAAACCCAAGACAAACATGGAAGACTAAGCACAAGCAATTGTACTTTGCAGTGATTGCTCAGAAGACCCAGGGGTTGAGGCATGAACACAAATGGACCTTTTGCCCCGTGTCCCATTTATTTTCTGAAGAAAGTAGAGAACGGATAGTCCTATATGAGTTGCTGCTACACTCAATGCAAATAGTGTACAGCCAAGTATCATGTTCATTTGTTTCATTTTAAAGAGAAACACTTGGAAAATCTGAAAGCATTTTATACTACCTCATTTGACATTTACAAAGTAGGTGTCTGTTTTGTAAAAAAAAATACAAGAGAACTTTAAAATAGAAAAAAAGGGGGGGTGTGATATCAAAGTTACAAATGATGGAAGCAATTTTAGATAAATTTACGGAATGATTTAGGTAATCACCATAATAAGTGAAAGGAACTAAAATATTTCTCTAAATAAAATGTAATATCATTTGGATTTGAAAAGTTCACACCAAATGGTTCCCCTATATTTGTCCAATATAAATAATTGGCAAACGTCGAGACAAGTTTGCATATGTATTTATCATCCTTACTTTTGAATTATAGTTCTCATGAGGAACATCTGCATTTACTTAAAGTGGTAAGTAAATTAATTTTGAAGTCATACGATGTTCTGGAGAGGAAAGTTCACATTCATTGCCAAAGTGATGTCCAGTTGTGCTGTGCTGTGGAGAGTATGCTTAGAACAGACGGGTTCCACACTGACCTCTGCCTTCCAGATCAACAGTCAGCCCCTGCTTCACACGGTCCCGGATCAGCTGCAGTGTGTGCTCAAAAATTTCCCCTGCTCTTGCTGTCTCCACAGTAAATGGGTCACTTGGGTAACGAAATTGAGCCAGCAGATCACTGGGAGTGTGAGGTTTTCTGCAAATGACAAAACACATGTCTCTTTGGAAGGCAAAACTATAGACTTTGTGATGCTCCCATAGGCTGGGCACTTAAGAAGATTTTTGCCAAATTTAAAGAAGAATAAAATATCCACCACTAGAATATGAACTTTGCAGGCTAGCTGTAGATTATTTTTCTTTTTTAACCACTGAATCCTAAGTGCTGGTTACAGTGCTGAGCTCAATAACTATATTTTAAATAAATTAATGATTTAAACAATATCTCTTGATAAAAAGCAACATCTGTGGTGGTAGTAATAAACGTAAGAAGTCCATGTGTGAGTTCCAGGGTACTCAATAAACCTTTTGAAACAGTGAACCACGTTCTCAGTTTTTGGATCTTGGTAATTGCTGTCTTCTCCTTCCCCAAATGTAACTGTCTGAAAGTTCCCCCTTGCCTTTAGAATCCTGCTCAGGCATCACTCTGTTGGTACAGTCTCCCTAATGGCTCTGACAAGCTATCAATCCATCTTCTCTATTACTTCTGTATCCCTTCAGATATTTGTTATGTACTCAGCAAGATGTACTTAAATTGCTGACATGTTGTCTTCCCTACTAAAGAAAGAACTGGGTTAGGGATGAAATGGTGCCTGTTATGATTCTGATCTTAAATGTCGCTGAAACCCTCACGTGTTGAAGGCTTGATCCCCACCTAATGACACTACTGGGAAGTGGTAGACATTTTAGGAAGTGGTGCCTAATGGGAGGAAGTTAGGTCATTGAGGTATGACCTTGAAGGGTGTACTGGGACCCTTTCCTCTTTCTCTTTCATTTCCCAGCCATCATGAGGTAAGCAGATTTTCTTTACTATGTGCACCCACCAGTGATACTCAGCTTTTCCACAGGCCTAAAATGACAGGGTCAAGCAACCATGGAATGAAACCATAAGCCAAAATAAACCTTTTCTCCTTTTATTTCGGTATTCTCTCGTAATGACAGAAAGCTCACCCACACAATGCCCTATTCATCTTTGTATCCCAAGTATCAAGCCTGCTGACCAGCATACAATAGTGGTTTATGCACATTTGAAGAAATGAAATAAATTAAAAGTGCAATTAAAGTTTCCCTAAGATTACAAAGCAAACTGTTTTAGAGATTTGGTCAACCAAGGCACATCTCATCCTCTGCTGTCTTGAATCATAACAACTTGAGATCATAGAATAATAGTAATGATACTAATAACTCACTTTAATTAAGCACTCTGTGTGTACCAGGTAATGTTGAAGCATTTTATCTGTATTTTTTCAGTACTCCTACTGAAGCACACAAGCAAGCACACTCCTACAGCAGATCCTATTGACTTCACAATTTTACAGGCAAAAAACGTGAGATACAAAGATGTCAGGTCACTTGCCCAAGATTACCCAGACACAAAGTAACAGATGAGGAATGATAATAGAAATATAAATGGGCAGGATGGCTTTCAAACAGGAGTCTGTGACCATAAGCCATATTGTTTGTGGATATGCAAGGAGTTTGAGTGGTACCTGATTAAGGGATTTTAAACTGTCCCTTTTTGATCAACAACTAAAAATACTGTATGTATACTATGATTATGAAAACAATACTCATTTTTTTTTCTTAAAAAATGTTAATGTATTAACCATATTTCAGTGTTGCTAACACAAAGTAATTTATGGGATTGAAAAGTTTCAGAAATCTAAACTCTTTCCAGTTCAATTAAAATGAAGCAAAATGCCAATTTTCTTAACCAAGTTTTTACCTGTGGGGTACCAGCATCTGACTGAGTGTGTTCATCTTGAAAATCACTCTCAATCCACAGGCCATAGGAGCAGTGGTCTGGTATTATCTAGTGAATGCAGACATACCAGATTTTTTTGTCTTGACATCTTTTGTCAGACTGTTAGAATGGATCTGTGGCATAAATTAATGCCATTTTTACTCCATGGGAAAAATTTCCTTCTCTTGGAGTCTGAATCAAAAATTGATGGCTAGAACAGAGGGTGGCACATACACAAGAACTAAAAGCATTCTGGCAATCTTACACATCCTACCTGTTATAATATACGGAAATTATAAAAACCGGGTAGAACAGAAATGAAAACAATTTTTGCAATCAAAATAATATTAATTCTTACTGTGAAAACAAATGTCTTCGTGTGGAGTTAATTGCACTGTCAACCCTCTGTACAGCGTCAAGAATAGATGATTCAACAAAGTCATCGCCAGCTTGTTTAACCTGTATTGCTTTGAAAATCAATTCCATGATTAAAAAGATCAAACAGACCTTGAAGTTAGGAATGATATGCTATAAATGGCATTACATTTTTGAAATGAAAACTTTTAAGCCAATAAAAACGGTATACAATATCTATAGGATAATGTTCATTGCAGAGAAGTAGGTGATTATCCTTGAAGAAAAGTCTCCACTAACAATAACAATGTTATTCAGGAAATTAAAGCATTCCAAAATACAGTAAAGCTGTGTGAAATATTTTCTTTTTTTACAACATCAATTCAAATGGGATCCACGCTTGCTAGCAATTTGTCATCTTAGGGAAGGTCTGAAACAGCTATCTCTTCAACCACCTTGCTTTAATGTTAAACATTAAAACAAAGTACATAGCATCAAATCCCCATAGAGGTTTCTTAAAGCAAGTACTGAACTCTTCAGTAAAAATAATCCTTGCTGTTTCTACAGTTCGCCAACATGTGAGAATTCTGAAAAAGCTGAATACCACAAAGGAAGTTGTTCACTTAGAGTTGAACATATTGAATCTTCTGTCAATGATGGTTTAAGAGGCTTATCTTAAAGGAATAAGTACTAAATGAAAATGATTATGAAGATTTAACTCATATAAGAGAAATAATCTAGCAAATCCATAATATTTAGTTCATTTTTGAAATATTAAAAGTAAAATAAAAATTTAAATGATACAATTAAAGCAACTTTTTAACACTGTTAAATATTGACATCCAAAGTAAAGATACTTCAAAACTTGAGTTTGAAAATGATATCATCAAGGGAAAATAAGAGATGAAAAGTTTAAATAGTAATATAAAGGTATATATTCTACATATTAGCAAAAGGAATGTATAATACAGTAACTAATATAAGCCTAAACTCAAGTTTGTACTATAATATGAAAGTATTGCATGTGTCTATCTCTCTATACATGTGTGTATTATACATATTTAGGCTCATATATTTTGAAAGGAATGAGTCTATAAGCATTCTACTTCTGCATGTAAGAAAAGTCTTGTATTTTGACTATGTATACACACTAGATTGATTTAGTTGTCTTAAGAAGACTACTAACACAAAACTACTTTAAGAAAAAAAATGCCAGTGATACAGAGATATTATAAAGGAGGACAATCAAATCAAGCATTCTGCTGAAAGCCATTCTTGGTGAACTAGATTATGTGCAGTGGCTATGAGCAGATGGCTATACTGTGAGTCCAATTCTGACATTTTGGGATTACCACAATATTGAGAATCTAGATAGTCACCATTGTCTTTTCTAAGTCTGGAAAAAAAAAAGAAGAAATTAACCCTGGACCAACAATGTATGAGGTAAAGACAAATGGAAAAAAAAGAGAGAGAGAAAGAGAGAAAGACAAGAACTGGTTAGCTCAATGACATGAAATTAAACATTTCTTTTAGAAGAAAAACATGAACAAATAAAATTAAACAAAGGACACAATGGTTGATAGTATTTGTAAAGTCTAAATCTAACACAGAATTAATATTCCATTTCATACAAGGAAATCTTATAGTACACTAAGAAAAAAAAGTACATACAAGCAAGTTATAAAAGAGGAAAGCCCCAAAAGTTAAGGATATACTATATGTAAACATAAAAATTAACTTTAAAGTGTCAATTAATTAACATTTTATTCTTACACTAGAAAAAAATTTTAGAACTTGTTAGCACTGCATTTTGACAGGAGCGTGTACATAGAAATCCTCAGGCTACTGGTGATTCTGTAGAACAGACACCTCTATTTTAGAGATTTTATTGAGACTTTTTTTGTTTGTAATTAGTAAAACTTATCTGTGCATACACCCTTTCCTACACCAATTCCAGGCCCAAACATATGTCCAGAGAAATTATAATTCAAATCTATAAGGGTCGTTATGAGAACGTTCATTGCAACTTTGCATGGAAGGAATTTAGGAAAATATATTGTACAGCTACAGAAATGTGGGCAAGAAGAATGTAGTGGGTATATGATAGGGAATATTACATGAAATATCACGGTTCACTTTGAATTCACTGTATGTAGACACCAATGAGTGCCAAAAAGAATGCTTAATGTAAGCTAATGTAAACTATAACATATATCTCCATAATTGATTGAGTTAAAATATGCAGTAGTTAAATGCTTTATGGTTGTTACCTATATAGTAGGCAGGATGGTGTAGGATACAGATATGAAAGGAAATGAGTGCATTTAATTAATTAATCAATTACAATAGTTATAAGAAAACTAAATATAATCTATATAGTTACATAAATCTGATTTTTTTAAAAAGCAAAAACAAGCTTATTCTATCATAAGTGAAACAAAAAAAAATATATGTTGACAAAGATTGGAGAAAAACAAAGTGTAAAACACTCTTGGTAGGACTATAAATTAGTACAGCCACACTGGAGAAAAATATGGAGATTTCTCAAAAAATAAATGGAACTACCATATGATCCAGTAATACCACTTCTGAATATAGATCCAGAGGAAATGAAATGAGCATATCAAAGAGATGACTGCATGCTAATGTTTATGGTTGCATTATTTGACAACAGCAAAGATATGAAGTTGACCTAGGTGCCCCCAACAGATTAATGGATTATTTTTAAATGTGGTATATACAGATAGTGGGGGCTGTAGCTGTAGCTCAGTGGCAGAGCACTTGCCTAGTATGTGTGCGGCACTGGGTTCAATCTTTAGCACCACATAAAAATAAATAAAATAAAGGCATTGTGTCCATCTACAATTACCAAAAAAAAATTTTTTTAAATAGATAGTGGGGTATTATTCTGCCATAAAAAATAAAATCCTGTCATTTGCAGTGAAAGAGATGCAACTGAAGGACATTATGTTTAAGTGAAATAAGCCAGTCACAAAAAGACAGGTACTGCATATTTTTTCTCTTATATGTGGAAGCTAAAAAAAAAATGTTGACAAAACAAAATAGTGATTACTAGAGTTTGAGAAGGGTCAAGGGGGTTGGGAGGAATGATTTGATCAGTGCATGCTGTATGTATGTATGGAAATTTCACACTTTACCCATTAACATGGACACTTAATATGTGTTAAAAATAATTAAACAAGCTTTAAAAAGAACAAGTCTACTTAATTGTGACTTTTACTTGTAAATAAAGCAACCAAGATCAATCAAATCAACCTCTGGTAGCATAGAGGCTGACTTGATTATATAATCAAGATTTTTTTTTTTCTCTTCATTTCCTTTTCAGTCCTTCCCTTTGAGAACTCAGGGTAGAAGTAGCATTAATTATATTATTATATGGTTTGGATCTGGAATGTCCTCCAAAGTCTCTCTCTGCTCCTCGCTGCCAAGGTAAAACAGCTTTCTTCAGCCATGCTGTTTTTGCCTCATTACATGCCTACAACAACGCAACCAGCTGACCATGAACCTTTCCTCCTCTAAGTTTTTTTTTTCCCCAAGCATTTTGTCACAGCAACAAAAAGCAGGCCAACATAGATGTGCTTCTATTCATGACAAGTATTATCTTTGGTACTCTGCAGCTGAGGATAAATACACTCCCAAAGGTATTCTTAGATTTGAAAGTAAGAAAAACTGTGCGCTGGGATTGAGTTTTCACATATGACATAGCAGTAGTGAGAAGACAAAACTGTTTACTGTAGCCAACAGAACTTGAGGAGATGACATATAAATTTCAGAAAAACATTATTTAACAATCTAAATTTTATTTGATTGTTAAGTTTGCTTTTATTCTATTTATAAAATCATTTTGCTATATAGTTGTATAAAATTTATAAGCATAAGGGATTATACAATGTTCATGTTCATCTCTTAACTCACCCATAAAGGGGAAATAATAAAATTTCCTCAGCATAAATTATGTACAGGGCTTAGGAGGTTATCAGTGTGAATATCATACTTCTAAAAGTTCTTCCCATACTACACATCCTAATGCAAATATAAGGTGCTTTAAAACCTGTAAAAAGAATCTATTTATTATCATGAGTTGATAATGTGTAATCCTATCATCTGTCAATTTGGTTAGTATTTCTCAATCTTAACAAAATACCAACTAATAAGTAGAATTAAAAAAATAACAATAAAGGTGACATAATATGTAACTATTATTATGTATTTATATTATGTATTATATATTATTATGAAATAATTAAATTCTTAAGTGCACAAATAGAAAAACACATCAAGTTGTTTGTTCATGATTCTTAAAAGTACATTAAATATGTATTATGTTCACACAAAAACATTCTTAGCAAAACACTTTCTCATTTTTATGTAATTTTAATTATGACTTTTTAAAACATCATATGGTAAACCCATTGAACCCTAAAACCATGTGTTTTTTAATTATTCATTTTATTTCAGTGTTTATTTAATTTGGTACAAATTAAAAAAATATATGTCCATAAATTTTCTCAAGAACAGCACTGTGTTATGCAAAGCAGTTTGTTGGGGCCACATTAGAATCAATCAATGCTGTTAGTATGTTAGTTGGCTCTGAAACGCCCTCAATTCAGGGCTTAAAAAAATGGAATGATCAGAAAATTTTGAGAACATTCTACATCATTTTATGAAAAATTTTGTGGTATATATGTGTATTAAGAATTGTAATGCAAAAAAAAGAGTACACGTATAATGGCATAATTTGGCGTGAGCATACTTTATATACAGAGTTACAAAAATTGTGCTGTATATGGGTAATAATGAATGTAATGCATTCCACTATTGTCATGTATTAAAAAAAAAAAGAAAAATTTTGGAAAGGTAGAGGGAGAATTGGATCATTTTTCTTTGTTAAATCTCAGGCTTAATGCACTTGAGGAAAAGACCTTGGTAGACGTATGAAATACATGTTTGAAGTTGTTAAATGAGCATCTAACTTTCGATCTTATCCTTGTAACCTCTGAGACTCTATCATCCCCACCGATGGTAAAATCAAATGGTAAAACTGAGTCCTTTCAGGAAAGGGGAGCTGGTCGCACAGTCACTCACTACTCTT